TTCACTAGTATCCCTTTAAAAAATCGACTCTGTGTACATTTTTTATAATGTCTTTAAACTCAAAAGAGTTCTCAAAGTATGCTTTTTTTTTTCCATAAGAAACCGTGTGTGTGATGAATACAGCCTGCTTTAGAAGTTGGGTAGAATGTTAAATAAACTCTTAATGATTCAGGTTTATATAAAGTGTTTGTCCTGAAATATGTACTTGTATTCCTATGTCAGCCATTAATTTGAGAACTGTTACAAGGCCTTAACAACCTTTTTTTATATTCCCAATAAACAAGAACCCAACTCGGCAGATAGCTTTTCTGCCTGGTATTGTTTTATTAGTGTAATAGCTTTATGGAAAAGATTCATGTGGGGGTTTATTGGCAACAGGGTGAGTAACTGTAGTTAAATATCTTGCATGTTGCGGTAATTTTCAAAACTGAGCCATCTTTGATTTTGTACAGTGTTATGAAAGCCACCAACTGGCTCAGTCACACTCCACTTAGAAGGCGTCAAATGTCCCTGGTTTCGTGTGGTTTTCCAGTGGGTGGAGAGAGGTCAAGATTCTGCTTTTCACCCATAGATGCTAAGCACTGGCCAGCTGTCCCTCAGTGGATTTGTTATCTTCGTATGTGTGTGCTTGCAGAGGTGAATCATAGCTAGGAAAATAAGAAAGCGTTCTGTGATGGTACCTATTAGCAAGCGTTCTTCAGTTGCTGTAATTAATTCAGTGGTTCCTTCCCTTTAAAGGTGACCAGATAACCCATAACCAGCCAGTTTGCTTTCTCAGATAAAAGCTTTTCATTTTTCTGCACGCCCTCAAATCAGCCTTGCTTTCTTCCCCCGTTCAATGCTGTGTACCTGAACCGAAGACTATTACATGATCAGAAAGCTTTGAACATCAGTTGTGTGATCAGCCAGGAAAGCAGTCCAATTTCCATTTTGTTCAAATAGCGCTTTCCTCTCTTGTCTGGGGAAAGTGTCTGCCAATTCATTTTTCTCTTCTTATCAGCAAAACACATATATACAGTGCTCACGTTGCTTAGTGTAAAACATAGAGAAAATCCCTGAACAATCAGAAGACCAGTTAGAAAAACTGCCCAGGCTCCTACTCTCATCCCAAAGCACACACTTTTGTTTGCCATCAAATGAGAACACAAATCCACGGAGCGCTGATTGTACAGGTGCCAGTCATCGCCAGTTATTAGGCATTGATAATGGTTTTCTTTAAACAAAGAAGATTTATCATGTGCTCAGCTTCTTGAAGATCACTTCCCTCCCCTGAAGCCCCCAGCCCTCAAACCTGGTTTGCACGCAGGTAGTCTTGAATAGTAGGGCCAAAAATTCATACTGGAGAAATTCTTGGCAAAGCAGAGGGGTCCAACCCCCAACCCCTTCCAAGGCACTCTTACCAAATATGGCACCGTAGGGTTTCTGTATCTGTCATAGTGAATAGATAGCCAAAAATGTAATCCATTCTTTATCCATTGCTTTGTTACTTATTTTTCCATGGACAAGCAGCATCGTTTGTTTTCTGTAATGCCCAGCAGGAGAGAACATGGGAGCAGGAAAAGGCAAATGTCATTATTACTCCACTCTCAGGGCTTCACATTTTATTTCAAAATTGTGAAAGGATTAAAACTGGGCCAGAGCACAGACAACTTTGTTTCTTTGCCTGTCTGGCCTCTTTCTGCTGAGAAATACAAACAAAGTCTTGGATTTCATGGGTAAGGGCTTGAGCTAGGCCACGTGGAGTCAAGTTCTGGTTCCACAGCTTAGTAGCTCTGTGATTTGGGGCAAGTAACTTAATCTCTCTCTTTTCTTATCTACAAACTAAATTAGAAAAGTACGTATCTCACAGTGCTGCCATGAAATCCAAATGATTTAGTCTGCAAAGCCACTTGCAACAGCATCTGGTATCTAGAAATAAAGTTAGCAACTATTTATACTAGCCTCACCCTGAAAGCACTTATAATCCAATTAATTGAGAAAATGCATAGTAAATCATGTGAAATTGATCTGTATTGCAAAAATTACAGGAGAAAATGAGAATACTATAATCAGCTGTGAGAACTGGCATTTGGACCAGCTTTTCTAATACTACTAAATACTGTTGAGTCTTTGTCCCTGAAAGAAGTTTGGCGCCAGTAATGACTCCACACCCGGCCAGGACCAAGAGATTTATTAAAGCGGCTGTTACAGAGGGAATCTGTAACAGTAAAAAAGAAAAAGAGAGAGAGGAAGAGAGAGAGGAAGTGGGAGAGAGGTGGGGAGAGAGCTGCAGAGAGGGAGAGAGCGAGGGAGAGAGTGACAGAGAGAGAGAGAAAGAGAGACCGAGAGAGAGTTGCAGGGGAGAGGGCTGTATTTATCAGCCCGACAGGGCCGGAAGGGGCCGTGCTATGCTCCTATTGGAGGAGCTGCATGGGAGCAGGGTGGGGCCAGCGCCATGTTATAGTCCTATTGGATGCATAACAAAGCTGGCTATGGATTGGAGGCTTGCAGGTTTGAAATTGGCGAGCGGGAAGGTTTGAAATTCGCGCGTGCACGCGGAATTGTGCTCATAGAAGCTGGGCCCTAGGGGCTTTGTTGTCTGGTGTGTGGGCGCCATTTGGGGAGCCGCCCCTCTGTTCGCTTCCTGCACCCTTCAGTCCCTCCCTCATGAACTCTCTCAGGTTATTCCCCCTCACCCCCCAACTTTGTACTCACAATTTTTTTGAAGTTTCGCTACAAATCGGTCTCCATGTTCCATTCTGTGTGGGTGGAGTGCCCTAGCTTGAGTGAACGAATGCAGTGATTAATTCTCCGCCTCGCTGGGATTCCCACGGATCAGCATGGCTCCGTGCTAAATGAGAGGGGTGTGCAGACGTGGTGCATGAATGCAGGGGACATTAGGTGTATTTTTCCTAGTAGATGGTTGTGGTTTATTTAAGACTTTAAACATGGAGCGTGAGGCTGGAAAAACTGCTGGGAATATAATTCAGAGTGAAGAGCCATGAAAGATATGCGGATGTTAACAAAGTGAGATTTTTCTGCATCTAGCCTTCCTCTAGGACAAAAGTACAACAAGGAGAATGCAACAGGTCCCCATGCCAGCTGGCACTGATGGATGTGGGTGACACACCTCAGACACAGAAGGAAATTCAAGGCACGATAGAGAGGGCTTGGGGCGGAGCGAGCCAGAGAGAGCATGGGAGCCGAGAGGACACAGCACTGGTTACCCTCCTTTGGAATCTCAGTTGTCTAATCCATGAAATGAGCATAATGATATCTTCCTCACTATGTCACAAGGTTTGTCTGAGGGCTAAAAAAAAATAGTGTCTGTGCAAATTATTTGAAAATTATAAAATGCTGCAGAATTGGTGGTGGTGCCATGAGTTTAGAGTCTCAAAGGAAAATAGAACAAGGTCAAAAATAAAGGCAAACAGGAATCTAAGAACATAAAGGACAGAAGCAATTTAGCTGATTATGCAGTATATTTTGAAAACAAGAATGTAATTTTATCAAATACCTGGCTAGCTAATGTTAATGACTAAATTTGATGACTAAAGTTTGCCTCAATGAACAAGAGTTATCGTTTACTTAAACTGCTAATTTAAGAAATGATGTTTAAAATTTATTAATTAAAAATTAAGGATATGGCTGGACTCGGTGGCTCAGCCTGTAATCCTGCGCTTTGGGAGGCCAAGGTGAGTAAATTGCCTGAGCCCGCGGGTTCGAGACCCACCAGGGCAACTTGGTGAGACCTCATCTCTACAACAAATCAAAAAATTAGCCGGGTGTGGTAGCGCATGCCTGTAATTCCGACTCCTTGGAAGACTGAGGCGGAAGGATCGCCGGAGCCCAGCAGGTCGAGGCTGCAGTGGCCGGGAGTGGCCACTGCACTCCAGTCTGGGCGACTGAGTGAGACTTCAACTCAAAAAAAAAAAAAAATTAAGGATATACTTATTGATTTAAGAAATGCTAGATTGATACACAGGTATTAACATACAAAGATTTTCATAAAGCCTGGTCTGTTTTGAATTATAAAGAGTATTATATGTTAACAAACATGTAAGAATATAATTATATTTATGTACGGCCACTGTCACCTTTGTAAGGCAAAATATTTTACTTCAACCAAACATTTAGGCATACCGGCATATTGTGTTCATAACTTTATTCATATTCCTTATTCATGTCAATGGTAATAATGTGTTCAGTATTGTATTTATCTATTTAAATGCATGCTTTGATCAAAAAATCTTTATGATAAGATTGGAACAGCATCTGTCACCAAAACAGGCCCTTAGAAAGTCATTGAGGCCGGACTTGGTGGCTCAGCCTTTAATCCCAGCATTTTGGGAGGCCGAGGCGAGTGGATTGCCTGAGCCCATGGGTTCGAGACCAACCCAGGCAACTTGGCAAGACCTCATCTCTACAATAAATCAAAAATTAGCTGGGCATGGTAGTGTGTGCCTGTAGTTCCCAGCTACTTGGAAGGCTGAGGCAGAAGGATGGCCGGAGCCCAGCAGGTCGACGCTGGAGTGGCCATGAGCATGCCACTGAACTTCAATCTGGGTGACAGAGTGAGATTCCGACTCTAAAAAAAAAAAAAGAAAGAAAAGAAAAGAAAGCCATTGATAAATACCTGCCAAGATGCTGGTAGGTGATCCTGAGCATTACTCTGGGACCAGCATAATCTTCCACTTCAGGGAGTTGACTATTTAAAAACATGTTTACATGTGTGCATTCTAATAACAAGCCTATAGCTTTTACTGGATTCTCTGAGGATTAAGAACCAGTTGTCAAAAAGGTAAGGACCTCATGCTTGGGTATCAGCTGTTGCCTTAGCGTGCTAGAGTCTTCAAAGAGCCACTGCTGACTTTATTCACTGGCTGTGGGCTGGCACAGTCAGTCACCAAGTTAGTGACATGGTTAAAAAGAAAAGAAAAGAAAGGTAAGGTGGGTCAGGTTGCGTTAAACTCCAAGGGCTTTCTAATGGGAGATATGCTTCTTGTCCTTTCTTGTCCTAGGTATTGCAGTTTGAACCTGGCCCTTTCAAGAGGAGGGGCAGAGCTAAGACCATGGGTCTTGTGGACATTCAGCTGGAACACCATGAGCGGTGCGACTGTATCTGCAGCTCAAGACCACCTCGATAAAGGATGTGCTCATACTTACATTAAGCATGAAAGAACCTTTAGTTTAATGAGGGTGTGGTAAGGAACCTACTTCCCACCAGCAGCCAAACTCACTACTAGCCTACAATGCAATGAACACAAGTGGTTGCTGAATTTCAGCCTAGCTTTGTTAGTACCATGGCAAGTAGAAAGGTATATCATCAACTTCTTTATCCAAGAATATAGGATTGCATTTAATAATAGTGTCTGAGGATATATATATATATACACGCACACACAGATATATATGTCCATGTCTATGTGTAAATAGATCAAATGGTTTATTCAGTATATATAACCAGGTACCCCCAGAGCTTCTATATAGTTGAGTTATTTAGACCCTTAAAATCTTTTGATAAAATTAAAAATGATCAAAAATATGAAACATGTCTTTGGGACATTCAAAAGATGAATTTATTTTTCAATTTTAAATCCCAAAACAATTTGTAATCTTGCACTCTTTAAAAAAAGGTGTCTTGTACCTTAAAGATGAGCTTTTCTTATGTATACATATCACTTGATTATGAAAAAAAGGAAAAAATATTGTTTCTGGGAAAAAGGCAAATACCTAAATATTTTTTCCATGAGCTGCACTACACACTTACCTATGTAGACAACAATAACCTGTCTCCAAAACCATGCCATGATAATATAGGTGCTTTAGAAATCAAGTCCTTCATTAAGTCTTTTTTATGCATTTAGCTGAGGCATGCTAATTCATTTAACACCTGTCTCATGAAAAAAATTACTCAGAAGGTTTATTATTATAACCCTACAAGAGACAACATATAAGCCATAGCAGAATTTTGAATTATATTTGTTTTCAAGACCCCTCCACAAAAGCGAGTCCTTTCAAGAGTGGTATGGGGATTCTATTTGAACCTTTCAAAATGGTATTCATTGGAATATTGGAGTAGTTGAGAGTTTTAAAAGTGAGCATCGACCTAACTGGAAATTAGATGGATGACTTGATAGGATCCATATATAGCAATGAATTCAACCTCTCCAAACCATGCCAATTAATTTGAGGTATCTTGCTTTTGTTCCTGTCTCTCTGATACATAGACATGGTTTTACGATGGTATTTTGCATCTGGCAAGCCCTCGTGGATTATTCATCGCCTAAAAGCTTTTGTGTTATCAATGAAGCAACGAAATTTTAATTGATGCAAATCTCTAATCATATACTTGCTCACCGTTCCGAATTCCTGTTTCTGAACTAAGTGAAACGAGTCCTGGGGTTTCTGGTTCTTTCTAAATCTATGGAGTTTGTTCTAAGAAGTTGTTAATTGTGGAAGCACACGTTTGGCCCTGCTCTCCCAGTAGAAAACTGTTTCACATTGGTTGTTGGTATTTAGAGGAAATCTTCCTCCCCGGCTCCTTCGTGTTTATTTTAAAGGAGATTGACTCCAGGGGTAGGAAATGATTCATCATCCTCCAAACCAAGATGCTTAAGAGAGCAACACTGAAATCAAGATAGCTCAGGGGCTGCTCACAGAGAACTCCATTTTTCTTCCTGCCGGAAAGTGAAAAGGAGAGCCAATTTCTTCTGTGAGTCTACGTCCCTATGGGTTACAACCGGTTTGGGTGAGAAATCCGTGACAGGGCCGGTTAAGTCCCAGTTGTCACATGAGTGGCCTAAATACACTTTATTTCTAAGTATGGTTCTCAGGTCCAAGTTCAACTATTCTTAAGTAGCTCAATTCTTCTCCACCCTTTGAGATGAAAGACCTGTGCTTATTGAAGATGAACCTTCTAAAACTTTCCTAAAAATGTCCGATGTTTTGACTCAGGGAGTGGTAAAATTAAACACCCCAATTGTTCCATTCTCCAGAATCCCAGAGCACAATCAGAAATAACCCAGAGCCCAGGCAGACACCAGTAATCCGGATCCCCTTTTTCCCCCTCCATGACCACTTGTAAGTTTCCTGTGAAAACACTGGCTTCCTGTACCAAAATCAAAATGAGTCTGATATCACTCGAGCTTGAACAGCTCGCATCGCAGCTGTAAATATGAAAAATTAGAGCGTTCTACCCAATTTCCAATAAACCTTCCAGGCTGCAATAACCAGGATGATTTTCAGTTAAAGTCCTATCTGTACTTTTTATTTATTAGCTGAAAGTGTAAGCAGGCATATTCACTCACTTTTCTTTGTCTTTCCTGCGAGTTTTATTAAAACTTCTCCCTTGGTTATCTGTTATCTATTGCACTTCCAACGTGTAGCCAATAAATCTGTTTCATTGCCATCAAAGGAATAAAAAGCTCACCATACAAATTACATTTCAAAACAAACCCTAATAAATCCACATTTCTGCATGGCTCACTCACCTGGAATAGTGCCTTTCATTCAATATGTTCTAACAGGGCAGAACACTTTCATAAGTAGATTTTTTTATGTTTTCTTGTCATATCGGTAACATGCAGCTTTTTCCTCTCATAGCATTTTCTATAGCAAATGTAACATGCCTCTTATCTTCATGAAAAATAAATATTGCTTTTGAACAAAACTACTCCATTATTTAGTACTCAATTACAGTTTTAAAAGGTGTTACAATGCTACAGACTTACTTTCAGAAATGCTCAGACTCTTTGGAATGACAAGATGGGTGATTTCTGAAGGCTTCCTTTTACAATGCTGAAAGAGGGAACACATTGTTCCCCAGCTACAGGTTTCTCCTCTGTCCCTGTCCTGAAGGTGCACAGCAGGGCAGTACTTGGGTTATGTTGTTTTGTTGCTGCTGTGTTTGCATCTTCATTTCACCTTTTGTTTCCCCATCGCTCCTGTAATGAACTGTGTGCTGCTCTGATGTTCCTCACCCAAGAAAAGCCACATCCTCTCTCTTCCTTGAGGCCTGAAATAAACAACATCACTGCTTCATTTCCCTTTTGGCTGCCCTCACGCTTGTTCCCAGCCAGGTGGACAGCCCAGTTCAGTATTACCAGTTCAGGGAGGACATTTTAGGAGCGACACTCCTTAGCATTTGGGTTACAATGTGTGAAGGGGCACAGAGCATACAGAGAATTCTAGCTGCAACAATTTTTGCCTTTGCTTGTTGCTGAGTCTTTATTAGCATGCTGGAGACAGAATAGCAGCCGTGGTGTTGGGTGAAACTCTGTCACTCTAGTGGTTTTAGGTTGTTTGGGGAATGGGTGTAAAGACACATGTATTCTGTGGCAAAAATCAATTTCACCATAAAAAAAATCAGCTAAATATGAGGCTGGGAAAAGGATTGAATAATTCTGTACATAATAGCTACTTCAGATAGCTTAGGCTTTTATGTAAAAAGTCATAATAGTCATATATATGTATATATAAACCTCATTTTAATGCAGACATTAGGAAATTAATTTCATTTCTTGAAATGTTCTTGTGTCCAGTTTTATTCTAAGAATAACTCAACAGATGTCCAAATCATTCATATTCTCCTAGGGTCCTCTGGTAGAACATTAAAGAAATTCATAGATTATAAGTCATGCCTAAATCCTAGGAAATATAATTTTGTTTATTGACAGCCCTGATCAAATATGCTAGAAGACAGAATATTTATAATTCACTGGTTTTATTGACATTCACTCAAGTTCTGTTGTTTTTAAAGATCAAGTTAAAGACTACAGGAGGCTTCAAAACTTAACATAGCACACTGGGATATCTCTCAAATAAAATAGTTAGACATCATCAACTGCTCAATATAAGACTGTGTGCTTGCTGTTCAAGTTATATTTCTGAATTTTGCAAATTAATTTGTAATGTTTTAAAAAACAGATTTCATTTCTATAGAGATATCTAAAAATTCTTGAGCAGATTACAGTAGAAAAGAGTGGAGCTGAGTCCTTGATAGAGGTTAATGTCCTCAGTGCAGCAAGTTATGGGCCAGGAAATCATTTTCTAACAAAATCATTTGACTTTCTAATTATTTTTAATTGTTGGATACTGATTTCCAGGTTAAGTGACCAGAAACTGAATGTTAAAATCATTATTGGATTCAATCACATTTAAACAATAACTGTAATACAAATTCTGTTTTAAGAAGTAAAGTCTTGGAGTTATACTCTCTAACCTGTCTCTGGCTGAGGCCACATTATAAATTCCTTCTCTTCCAGGCCTTCTAAACTTTTCTAGACTTTCTTCCTTTTCTCCCTGTGGCTCCCACATTCCTTCCCTTTCTCATGAGCCTCTACCCAACAATCTTTTAAGTCAGGGAAAAGTCAGTATCAATGTCTGCTTTGGGAAGGATTGCAGATAGGTTATTTGAGGAGATCACATGCAGTTTCCCAAGTAAGCAATTAGTAGGGTAAAATGCCAACTGTTTTTAAGAAATCACTGCTTGTTAAGAGTCAAACAAGTGACTACTTACCAATGCTGTCCATTTTGGTGCAAACTTCAGAATATGGTGGTGGATATTTATTGACTTCTGTCAAAGGAAATTTAGCCACAGTCTGTATGGGCAAATGGACTAAGTTAAATGTTTCATTCACCTGTTCATTCTACATCAAATGCATTAAAAGCTCAATGTGTATCAGACGTGCTTTGGGGCTCAAAACACAAATCTACAACAGAGGATAAAAATGAAGAAAGACATTCTAAGTGGGATAAACAGAAAGAACAAAGATCTCACAGCAAATATGTATACGGTGAGAGTGGGCAGTTCAAAGAATACAGGGTAAACCAGTAGAAAGAAAAGGAACCTGTAGTGGAAAACAGATTGATGGTGTACTTGGAAAAATAGATATAAGTATTCGATTACACCAAGTCTTGCCTGGGTGGCTAGCAAACGAGTGTAAGCTTTTGCATTTGGGAGAGGAAGCCTTGGGAACTTCCGAGCATAGTGGGGACTGTGAGTGTCATAGAGCAGTGGTTCCCCAACCTTTTTGGCATCAGGGATGGGGTGGAGGGGATGGTGGGGGAAGGGGGATGTGCAGTCAGACCTCACTGCTTATCACCACCGCTGATCAGCAGGCATTAGATTCTCCTAAGGAGCCCAGCCTAGATCCCCAGCAAGTGCTGTTCACAATTCGGTTCAAGCTCCTATGAGAATCTAATGCCACTGCTGATCTGACAGAAGACAGAGCTTTGTCCACTCCCCCACTACCACTTTTTCCTGCTGTGTGCCAGGTTCCTAGCAGGCCATGGACCAGTACCTGTCTGCAACCCAGAGGTTGGGGATCCCTGCCATAGAGCACCAGATAGTTAGGCCTTGGGTGTAACAGCCAGCCGGCCACTTTCTGGACCTCTGCTTCCTCATTTGCAAAGTTTGCTGTGTAAAATGTTCCATAGGTGCCTTCCAGCAGAACAGTGCTGAATTTTGGAAAATGGTAGCCTACAGGAAGCATGGGGACAGGGATACTAGTTATGAGGGTCCATGAAGTTCCAGGGGTGAGACAATATGTATGAAGGGAGGTGTGTCCCCTGCGGTTTTGCAGACTGCAGCTTGCACATCCCTAGGGAGTGCCGTTTGCATGACCTAAGACTACCAGAAAGAGAAGAATTCAAAGATCTTAGGGGTGTGGAGGAGAGTGCAGGATTGAAAGTATCCTGAAGGAGATGTGAGTTAGAAGTTCAAGAGTATTCTCTCAAGAAAATTAAGGAGGCAGGAAGGAAAGGCCAATTGTGAGAGCATGTCTCTCAGAAGAGGGAGGTGAGACTTGGAAAGTTTACTGGGAATCATCCTTGTGGTGAAACTGAAATGGAGGAAGATAAAGCACAGAACCTGAAGGGCTTCATAACCACAGAGAAGAGGAAAGAAGACTATCTCACCAAACTCACAAAATGGGTTCCAAAAATGTGTCAAGTACTAACTGAGGGCCAATTAAGGATCCATCTCTGTGCTAAATACAATAGATTCTGAGAAAATGAAACAAACATATTTCCTGCACTTTTCAAATTAGAGAAGGGAGGGTGGACATTAAACAAATAATTGCATAAGTAACTTATAATTGTGAAAGGCAAAAGCAGAATGTGGGGTGGCAGTAAAAGGTGGCATCTGGATCAGAGGACAAGGAAGGATTCCATGAGAAGATGATGAGCAGGAACAGAAAGTTGAATCTATGTTAGACAGAAGCAAAGTGAAAGGAGAATGTGGCATTAAAATGATGGCATTAGAAATGGAAAAAAAAGTAGCTAAAGAAGTATTTAAAATATATAAATGACCAGAGTTGGTGATGAACTGGACTGAGACAAAAGAAGACACAAAGTGTCAATGTTTTTTCCAAGACTTTGGGTGTAACAAACTGGGCAGAGAGAGGTGCCATTTATTGAGATAGGGAACATGGGAAGAGACTTGGGGCAAATTAGTAATTCAGTGCAAGACATGAATGCCAAGTGGACTTTTACATATCCAGTTGGAGATATTAAGTAGGCACGAGGACTGTGGGTCTTGAACTCAGAAGAGTGGTCCGAGAATGAGACGTAAATTTAAGAGTAATCAACATATAGCTATTAAGAGCCACAGGAGTGATCCAGACACTGAGGGGAGGGTAAAGAGTGATGAGGAAAAGGATCAAGGGGCAATTGCAAGAGTATAAAAACATCCTGAGTGCCAGAGGAAGAAACTATTTCAAGGTGTCTGCGTCAGTTTTATTAACTATTGCAGAGAAGATGTAACAAAATCATGAATTTCACAGCAACCTGGATGAAACTAGAGTTTATAATACTCATGACCTCTCACAGAAACAAAGATCTGAGTATCACATGTTCTCACTCATACAGTGGACCTTGAACATCCAACGTAGTACTATAAGAAAATGACTGACAATGATGGGAAACTATGGGGGGGGAAGGGAGATGGGATTAACAGTAGCAGATATCTGTCTGGGGACGGGGAGACACCTCTTATCAACAAGGGTACCTAATCCCTAACTGTACCCCACAATATCATAATAAAAAATATTGATTATAAAAAAAAGAAACACCTACAGATTTATCTGCCCAGAAGCACTCCTCCCTACCCCCTACCCTTACTCCTTTTTTGGGAAATGCCTCTTCATCCATTGCAGGGGCCAGCCCCTGCAGAGAGATTTAGAGGGTCCCTGGAAGGTGGGGCAGCGTCGGCAATTATTCTGGAGAAAGAAAGAGAATGGGGCAGAGAGAAAGAGACTGGACTCTGTCTAGCGCAGAAGCCGATTCTGTAGTAGGGATAGATATTGAAAGAAAGAAAGATGGAGGGATAGATATAAAGAAGAAGAAAGAGAAAGTGGACAACTGTTCAGTGAATTGAGCAGAAGTCGTTTTATTGGAAGTTACAGCAGGTAATTATCTCCAAATTTTACACAGACAGTCTCACAAGTCTTTCACGTGAACACAAAGCCAGGTGCAGGAGGGGCGTCCCCCACCCACCAGATGTTTTCTCAGGCACGAGGAGGGACAAACCCCAAAATTGTCTTATTGTTCCCTTCGCTAGTTAATGTTCCTCAAAAGCCATGCAACAATCCTTACTAGCATCATGATGTTCTGATAATCAATAACTTCTAAAGCTCATGTGCACACAACACCCATGATGACTAACTTAAATTT